TTTTAAGCATAAAGCAGCTAATAGGAGGTTGGCAAGAAAGAAACAAAAGCAAGATAACATAGCAAGCGCGGCAACCTTATCTGAATGCCGCTACTTAACAAGAGGCGAGCACTGTATATGTTACAACTCGACCAAAGCTACCCGTATCGGAAGGTGTTCAAGAGGATGCTGCTTCATGATCGGCTGGAGGTGGTAACAGGAAGCCAGCTTGTGGGCTCGTTTGTCCATGCACAGCACTGACACGTTTCACACGGTCACATTGTCCCTGTGCTTCACATACGCGAAGACGCCGAGGTGCATTCAGGCGTGGTCGTTGAGGTACCCAGTACGGGAAGAAACTAAGATGGCTCTGTGCTTTTTGTGTCTGGAACACCGACTGCGAAGGTTGGCTGGAAAGACCAAGAGGAGACAATATTCCGAACGGGCACCACTCGCCGATTACTGCTGGGCATGGTAGTTCGCAGCAGGTGCCTGGCGCTGCGTTGATCTCGCCAGCCCGCTCGACAGGAACTGAAATGGCTCAGTGAACGAGCAGCAGAAACGCAGTAACTACACCAGAAGCAACATGGCGCCCAAGCTTAGGAAAGCCTGACAGTTGAATTCACTGGGAGCAGATGACGTGAAAGCAAACACGAAATGAGCAGAGAAAAATACTTGAGCCGAGTTGCATGTGCTCATTTCTTATGGTTTTGGCGGGCCATTCAAAGTGATGTATGATTGTTCACTAATAATAGTGCTGCCATTAATTATATGCAGTGTTTACGATTCAATTTTAGGATCACAAGACTCGGACTCACAAATTACAAATAAATTGCAAAAAAACATCTTGCGGTTAGAGGCCCTTAACGCAGGCTTGCTGGTGCATGCTGAAATTGGAAAACCGCATTAGGACTAGGGACAAGCAATTTGCACACCATAAGAATTGCTTAGGTGCGTTTCATAGAGTTTCATACTATAATACCTAGAGATGAATCTGGCGTTGCAATTGTTGTACTTCCCTTGGGAATGATGGGAAGTACAGGCTTCGGGTTGGATAGCATTAGCGAACTGTCTGTGGATCTTTTTCTGCAGTTTGTTTCGTTCTTCGTGCAGCGTGGGTAGGTGGAAGTGGTGTAGAGCACTGAAGCTGTGCCTTTGTTGTTCAGAAAGGCTGATGACCAATAGATGTCTTGATTTGCTGCGAAGTTGGAGCTTTACAAGTCATATTAGAAAGCTTAAGTGAAGCATCATCTGCTCACTGCTGTGCATAGATGCAGCATCAGGATATTGCATTGAGTTCATGTTTTTTTTCAAAAGTGAATTTTGCCACAACTCATTTAAATTGACTGGAAAACGATGTTGAAGCTAATTAGATGATCGTCACGCTCCTCTGACTTAATAACCAAACAAGAGGTGCATTAGGGCAGGCCACTTCGACACACACATGGGGCATTGCAGCAGACGAAACGTGAAGTGTTTCTCATTTAATGCTGTAGTCTTATATGCATAAATAGATAATGCATACTTTCAAGGGGGAAAAAGCGTGTTTGTTTTCATGTGTTGTAAAAGGTAATTCATTATATTTGATGCCAAATCTGGAGCGCGATGGCAGAGTAATGCATACGCTGGTGGTTTAATTAGCCCAGGTTTCACTTCTGCCTTATGGTTACGAAACATTTTGCAGTGAGTTCTATGTACAAAAGAATGAAGCAAGTTTCCATTGGATATAACTTCAGATCACTTTGTTTTACTCGGCAAGCCAGCTTTGCAAAGCTTGAGAACATAACCCATTTGAAGCCCGTACTTCCCATCATTCCCATTGGGTACAAGCTCTTGGCCACGTTTTCTCTAAAAAGAGTTTGATGCACAAATACAGTGAAAGCTCATTAATTTGAGCTTAGTTAATTTGAACTTACAGCTAATTCAAACTGATGCCTTTGTCTCGGCGCAGCCCTGTGTATTTGTATGGGGCAGAACTTCCAATAATTCGAGCGCCTTTATATTCACAGCGGTTAAATCAAACTGGGGGCGACGTGGCTTTCATCGCACCTTGCAGAAGTCGGGCCAGAGTGATCACAATATTTAGCAAAAACCAATCAAAGCCAAATTTACGACAGATGGAGAACAATAAAACGGCATTATTTCTCAGCAGATGAGAATTGCTACGCTGTGCTGGAGCTCTTCAGCAAGCTGCAAACGATGATGCTCATAGACTCAAGAAGGAGGGACAAATAAGCGCAAACTCACAACTGCTTACTTTTTTTTGAAAAGGACTAAACATATAAGCAGCAAAATCAGCATGGAGCATGTATGAAGTGAGTAATGGGCTTGCGAACAAAAAGCAAATGATTACACAAAATTTTATTAAAAAGCCAAACCTTTATCAGCAAGTTGGATTGAGTGTCGCCACAGATTGATACATTTTACCCCTACTTATAATAAATGCTTCCGTGACTTCACGAATTAATTTATCTTAGGAGGAAACAGGAACTATCATAGGAAATAGGAAGGCTAAACAGACAAGGACAAGTGTGTGACTGAAAGTTTATTCGGACAGCTGTGACATGTGCTGACAGTCATCATCATAAGCCAACACAGGATATCACAGAAAAGCAGATTACTATGGCAAACCTACCGTGATTAGACAAGCGCGAAAAGCTTTCCTTCCCCAGAGAATTTGCATGCTCTTTGAAATGTGTGCTGATGCAGTGGCCTGTTATATACATATTTCTACTAGTTAGTGTTATCCAGTAAGCACCACCTTTTCTGCGTTTTGATGTAACTTTCTGGCTGACAATGGTTTGTAGAAATGCAATAAGTCAACATGTGCAGCAAACAAGCTCTTATACACTGGCTTAGGCTCAGCTTGAAAGTGCGATGTTAACAATGACAACTTGTGTTATAACCTCTTAGTGTTATCCAGTAAGCACCACCTTTTCTGCGTTTTGATGTAACTTTCTGGCTGACAATGGTTTGTAGAAATGCAATAAGTCAACATGTGCAGCAAACAAGCTCTTATACTCTGGCTTAGGCTCAGCTTGAAAGTGCGATGTTAACAATGACGACTTGTGTTATAACCTCTTAGTTAGTGTTATCCAGTAAGCACCACCTTTTCTGCATTTTGATGTAACTTTCTGGCTGGCAATGGTTTGTAGAAATGCAATAAGTCAACATGTGCAGCAAACAAGCTCTTATACTCTGGCTTAGGCTCAGCTTGAAAGTGCGATGTTAACAATGACAACTTGTGTTATAACCTCTTCAAACCAATCGAAGTGCTGCACTTACTGATAAAATACCGTGCTCTCGTGTGACATGGAGCAAGCCAGCGTATCGCTATGTCCTTAGCACTGGTCTGAGGAAGCAAGTTTAATTTTTTGTGGCACAGTCCAGCACGTTTTGCTATTATGTTGTTTAGAGCATAGAGTTTCCTAAAATTAACTAGAGGGGACTCTGCCGGTGTGATCGTTCAGTGACCATGGGAATGGTGGGTAGTACACACATTTGTTTAGTCTTCGTACTTGCGGGCGAAGAATCGTATTTGCGGGGCTTCATTTATTGCTGGTTACGGTTTCATTTTGAAGGAATGAACGAAGCCTCAAAGGTTTGTGACCCGATTCGAAATGGTAAGCCTAAAAGATTAAGGTGGTGAAGCACAACCGCTGAACATTTGCTAATCTTTGTTTCATGAGAAAACAGCTCCAAGCCACACAAACACACATGAGCCAGAAGCAGGCTAGAAGTAGAAAGATGAGACAAATACGTGTACTACCAATTAATCCCATGCTCGCTGAAGTGCCATGCGTTGCAGCTCCCATAGACACTAGCGCCAGAGTTCCCTCTATTGTATATTAAGAAACTCTATGGTTTAGAGTTTCATTTAATCAAAATACCATATTTACTCGCATAACAAACGCACTCTCACAAAAAAACACCCCCAACTTCAGTCGTCAAAATTTTGATTTTTTTTCCCAGCATAATAAATGCACCCCTACATTTGTCCACTGCAGTCCCGCTAACCTACACATGGCGCCTCCTTACCTGTTAGGTCTCGTTCATTTTTTATGATCATGCCTACCCATTTTGGCTCGCTCCCTCCCCCCATTTGCCCGCTGCCGCGTGTCTTATAGTTTTTCCTTCTCTCAGTGCGCGGCATGAATTGCTTGATCTATGCACCACAGCGGGGTTCACGAATCGTGCGAGTGTAAAAACACCGCAGCTGACAAGCACACAGCGAGCGAAAGTCATGAACCTTTCCGCGCCAATTGACGGTCACTTCCTGCAAATACGAAACCTTAAGGCCCAACCACATCCCTTGCGATGATGACAGGATTTGCTGTCACTATAGCTGTCGCGAAGAGCCATTCGTCGCCATCGCGTTGCAGGTTTCTGGAAAACCAGAAATAAATCGCTTGTTGCAAAGAAAAGATTGTGACTATATCCGCAACATTGTCCCCGATTATCGCTTCGTTTGCAATTAGAGCGGCTGCTGTATTTTGTTGTTAATCTTGTTAATCTTGTACTAGTCATGCATTGGTGGTACCTTGCGGCAATGCAGATTGCTTGCTAGAATGTCAACTGCGGCGGCGCGGTCGTTGTGCGCGGTTGCCACGAAGTTAGCAAAGTGCTTCGTAGCATCGTAGCACACGCTTCTGGGCGCCCCTAAAGATCACAGCAGTTAGCATTGTTGTGGTTAAATGATTGCGAGTAAAGATAGCCGCAAAACGCTTTTATGGCATGCAAGGGCGGCACGCGCGAACAGCTTAGATAAGTGCAACATACAAGCTGAGCGACCTAACTTTTTTCGAATTACCGCATATTTTTGCTCATACAGAAAACGTTTCTATAAAATTTTTCCTGCATAATAAACGCACCCCAAATTTGCTCCGGTTTTTTAGAAAAAAGTGTGTTCATTACGCGAATAAATATGGTCACTGTGTGGCTATGCAATACCAGTACGCCTCCAAGTCAGTGGAGCCATGTGTGCCTGTTGTCGCTTACTCAGTGACGTCTTCTCTATGCAGCACCGTGCACGTGTCGCATTGTCGTCATACTCGTGGGACCTCGAGAAAGCCACTGAAGCCATCTTCAGCTAAAGCTGTTCTAACCTGGACTGTTGCTCCTTCCCATATTTTTCTCTTCTGTGGGTGCTTTCAATTAAGCCGGCAGAGCTTTGAGAAAGCACATTTCATTCTTGTCGTTTGGGGATACACGGAGTGTGAGAGAGGTGTGCCTTTGGTGTACAGCCGTAGATGCCAGTAGCATTTGCACCATGTCTACTGAGGAGCACTTTAAAAAATTGCATGATTTGAGTAGGATAAGAAATCAGTCCCTTAAGATTTTGCCTGCTTGATCCTTGTTTTTACAGCTTAATTGCTAATCCGGCTCATGTGCCAGTTTAGTTCATAACTAGTGAGTGCATATTGTGAATCACTATACATACACAATTGTAAATGGCATTGCAAAAAGGCTATGTTATAGATTGCATGCAATTGAAAGTAGGGATCATTTGTTCTGAGGCTCTCTTGTATGAACTTGATACATATTTTCATTCCCTTTTGTGAATGTTTATCTAAGAGTCTGCAGCATAAATTCTATTTTTCTATTGAGCAACTTGAAGATGGCCCCTTTTTTGCCCAGTTTCTTTTGTCGTTGTGCATTAAAGGTGTGCTTTTAAACCATTACATGCTCTGTTTTCTCTGTGTCAAAGCAATGTGAAATTCAATTCACGATTCCTGTTGCAAGCTTGGAACAGGAGCGCCTAGCAAATGTCCAAGCAAATGACAATATGCTTCTACACACCACGCGCAGACTAAAGAAAACCCAGTATCGCTGCTCTTGGCCAACTTTCCCAGTATTTTTCCAAAACTTGGCTCATTGAAAGTGATCATTCATTCTATTTCATCAGATATCATTCTTGGCACAGAAATATGGCTTTCTGATGATATTAATGATACTGACCTTGCGCTCCCTTCATCGTTTGTAATATTTCGCAAAAATAGGACTGTTTCTAGAGGCAGTGGTGTTTTTATTGCAGTTTATCGGCTGCCTGACTGCCGTCCGGATTTCACTGGCCTATTCAACGAAGCACTGGAGCTGGTTACTAACGGGTTTCCAGACTGCTTCTTAATAATAAGTGGTGATTTCAATTACCCTGTGATAGACTGGCCAACAATAACTGTGTCTTCACAGTCAAAACAGGCTTAACACCTTTCTTTTATAAACTTACTTCACTATCATGATCTCACGCAGCTAGTTAATGACCCTACACGTGGTAATCGCATCTTATGTATCTTGTTCACAAACAGCCCCGATATGGCCAAAACACATATTCTAGAATCTATTAGTGACCATAACGTAGTGCAGTGCTCTTTCGCACTTCTTCATGCTGGCAAAACAGGCAGTAAAAATGCATTCTTAACTACGTGCGAGCTGATAATGAGAAGATCAATCAACTGCAACAGGCATTCTTAATCCATTTTCAAGAGAATTTCGAGAAACGTTCGACTAATCTCAACTGGGTCAAATTTCGCGATAAATTAAAGGAGATGGAGGATTCCTGCGTGTCGAAATGTAAAGGATCGCAGCACATCCGCGGAGTGAATGATGATGAGTGGGGAGAAGCCTCTGTCAGCCCGTCCGTATGTTCGTTCTTGCTTCCGTCCGCCCGTGCGGCCATCCGTGTGTCCATTGATACGTCCGTGCGACCGTCCATCTGTTCCTCTGTCTTCTAATTTGTCTGTCCGTCCGTCCGTCCGTCCGCGCATCCATCTAGTGAATACTCTAAGTACCGCTATCTTGCATCTTCTGTGGCACATACCCGTTCCGCGCGGCCGTCCATCCATGCGTCTATCTAGTGAACATTCCAAGTACCGCCATCTCGCATCCCGGTGACTAAAAACGACAATGACGAAGGATGGACAGACTCGCGCCCCAAGGAGCTTGCCCCTAAAACGCGTGACGATGATCAGTGGTTTACGCAAGTAGTAAAGAGATGTTTAAATAAGAAAAAAAAAAAGGTCATACAAGAAAGCGTCAGAAATGAACACCCCACCTGACTGGAAAAACTGCAAATCTATATTTTTACTGGCACAAAAAGCTATTCATGACGCCAAAAATGAGTACTTCAACTTCACGCTTTCTAACATGTTAAAAAACGACCCTCAAAAATTTTGGGAAGTCGTAAATTCGAAGAATAATCACCCAGTGGCAACGCTTCGAGGTTATGACGGCGCTGTATTACCAGTAGGTGAATGTGCAGAGGCTTTCAACAATAACTTCGCTGAGGTATTTACTGACAACTGCCTTTGAATAGTTCACTTAATCTCCCTCAAACTCATGTTGCACTTCCTTTTACACCCATCATAGTTACAGCACTTGGCGTACCATGTGCAATAGCACGCGCCCGCTTAAAGCAAGTCCAGGTCCCAATGGAATCGGTGCTCAACTTCTAAACCTAATCAAGCATCAGTCAGCCTACATACTTTCACTGATATTTCGTCTATCCATCGACCCAACTTTTTGAATTAGTAACAGATCTTCATCAATCACTGTACTCATCACTGTACGTCGATCCAATCTTCATCGACTTTTCAAAGGAATTGGATCGCGTCCCTCACAACCGCTTGATTCTAAAAGTACGCCATCTCCAGCTTGGCCACAAAACTAAATAGATGGAACATTTTCTATAAAACCGAAAACAGTTTGTCAAAATTCAAAGCCATATCTCAAACAGCGAACACGTAATATCGGGGGTACCACAGGGGTCAGTGCTGAGGGCCACTTTTATTTTTCATCTACATTAACGATGTAGCAACCGACATGAATGCATCAGATTGTTTGCAAATGACTGCGTAATATATACGAAAATAACCTCTTCCACTGACATCATTCTCTTACTGTCCGCCTTCAAGAAACTGACAGATAGGTGCTCCGTATTGCAGATGCAAGTTAGTGTAGATATAACAAAGCACATTAAGTTTAGCACGCAGCAAATTCTCAGACCAACCAAACACAATTGACAATATCAAAAATGACACAATTTCTACTTATGAATACAAGATGTAATATTTAATTTTACCTTGACCTGGAATAACCACATAGAGTACACAACTTCTAAAGCCCTAAAGAAGCTCAGCCTCTTAAAACGACTCCTTCAACTCACGAATCGGTACACCAGATTATGAGCCTTGTTGCGAACTGGGGTCTACCCGACGCTTCCCCACTGACATGGGTTGCCGAGACGTCAGGGTTGCGTCGGTCCCCATCACTTGTGGTAGCGTGATGGAACTTCCAGGGGAGGAAACCAACGCTGACAAGTTGGAAAACGAAGAAGAAGCAGGTTTATGGCACTATTTACACTTATTTACAGCATAGAGAGGCTAGGAGTGGCACAAACCATGAGCGTGGTGGTTAAAATGTTAAAAAACCATCGTTCAGAGCAATGTCCAGCACTTTGCAGCGTCATTATAAATCCTGTCGGGCTTCTCCTCCTTGACTGAAGCACCACTCACACACTACATACCGCTCTCCATAGCATCAGTCAATGCACACGCCGGTCACGAATAGGGGCCGCATGTCCTGATGCAATGCTTCTCTGGTCCGAATTTCACTGAAGAGAAGGGGAATGGGGTTCCTTCCCAGAACAATTTGACAGTTGGCTTGCTTCTTCCGCCTTTCCCTGGAAGGGTAGCCAAGAAGTAGATACTTCAATCGTGTAGACATGACCTGTGCAGTCGATCTGCTTCGCCATCTCCCCAAACAAGCCAGCCTGGAAGAAATGCTTGTAGGACTCACGGACCGTCTTCTAATCCTTTTGTTGCTCCCCGCCGCTGGACGCTAGTGCCGTGAGAACCGGAGTTCCGGGCGTGGGAGCGCTGCCCGGCTACGTTTCTCAGGGACAGCATGGTGCCTACTTACAAGGGTCACAACAGCCTATAACTCGCTCATTCAGAATACGCATCTATTATTTGGCATCCACATCATGTCACTTGTTCAAATCACCTCGAAGCGGTCCAAAACAAAGCATCCCGGTTCATCCTATCATCTTATTCTCGATTTCAAAGTGTCACAAAACTAGAAAGCACTCTTAACATGCATTCACTCGTCTTGCGTCGAACACTCAGCCTGTTATCTTTCTTTCACACCCTCTACCATAGCACCATGTCTGTTTCACAATCTCATATTATACCCGTGCACCAAATCTCGTATAGAATAGACCATGGCTATAAGGTCGAGCCATTTTTTGCTCACACTGAAAAATACTGGAATTCACCTCTTGCAATAGCAATAGATCAATGGAGTTCACTGTCATCTTGCATTGCCACTATCAACGATCATCAGTCTTTTTAGTTAGCGCTTCAATCATTTCTCAAGCGGGATAACACTTTTCAATAGGCCACTTCATTGTATCTTATACTGGTCTTTTGCGTTCATTTGTGAAATGTTACTAGTTATTTGTGAAATGTTATTGTTTCTGCATTATATTTCTAGTTTTCCTTTTCAATTGCTGTATACCTGAAATGTGATTGTATTTCTTGTAAATCCCCCCCCCCCCCCTTATGTAATGGCCTACGGGCCCTTAGGGTATCCAAATAAACACTGGTGTGCTCGTCCTGTCTTTGCCGCTGCTCGTAGGCATTTGTTTTGCATCTATCCTGAGTAGAAGTATAAGGTTCACAAAATAATGTAAATCTACCAGTGTGAGAAAGCTTTGGAAGTTCACTGGTGCAAGCTTTATTGATTGTACTATCTGCAGTTTTACGTCCCAAAACCACAATATTATTATGAGGGATGCCGTAGTAGAGGGCTCCGGAAATTCCAGCCATCTGGTATTCTCTAATGTACGCTGACATCATACAGTACACATGCCTCTACAGTTGCATGTCCACCGAAAGGCGACCACTACAGCTGGGATCGAACATTCGGGTCAGCAGCCGAGCATTGAGGCAGGACTGTGCAAGCTTCATCCCAGCACAGGGTTCTCCACGGGGGGATTTGATGTCAAGGGGAGACGAGGGTCTTGAAATGACACAAAATTGTAAAAAATACTGACTTTCAAAAATTGCAATTTGAGTTATTTATAGTGGAAAGTATGTTTTAGAAAAATTATATATTATGGCAAATACCATTTACTGTTGTTGAAAAGCTTAGTATATGAAATTACAAATGTTTTTAAAAGTAGACATAATTTTCCTGGCATTGTTATTTTTGTGAAGTGAATCTGCCTTATGGAAGTTTTGATCAAGTTTCTGTGAAGACGTCTAAACAAACTTAGTGCAATTTTTTTGCAGCACTTGAACTACAAACTAAAGCTTTTGTTTTTCTCTCAGCCTTGATAGAATTGTATTATATGATAAATACCAGGTAATTACTGGAAGCTCTTTTTTACCTTCCTAGTTTAAAAAATATTTCTCATCACAGAAATAGGTGTTCTGACATCTAGTTTGCTTTAGCCTGTGGGATGAACCTTTTCAAGGAAACATGTAGTTTTGAAAACCAACTTCTTTGATTGTGAGTTACTGTAATGACCCGTATAAAATTATCTAATTATAATGAGGACATTTGTCATTACTTTTTTCTCTAAATGAGATATTTGAGATCTGTTTGCAGATTGGAAATCCCAATTCAATGGTAAACATGCATGGTAATTTTCATGACAGTAGGATGTTTTTTTTAAGACCCT